GCACCACTTCCGGCTTTTTTCTTTTTGCTTATGTGGTGCTGAGGAATCAAACCTTGGGCTTCATGCATGCAAGGCAAGCACTCTACCACTGAGCCACCTTCCCAGCCCCTGAGTACATTTCTTATCAAGCATTGTTGCCTCCTCCTTTGTTTCCATTCCTGCCCTCCCATCTCCCCCCCACCCCCCAAAAAAAGAGTACATTTTTTTTGGACAATGTCACCCCTTCCCTGGCTCTCTCACAGGTTTTCCCTCCCTCAAGTTCTGTTTGTTCCCCACCCACAGGTTGTGTGTCAACATAGTGTCTAGTGAGTGCCACTGTTGCATTTCTTCATCCTGGGTCCCTCCATTTCTTGCTCCTCCCGGAAATAGATGAAGGAAGAAACAATTGGGGGGGGGGAGAAGAGAAAACAAAATAATGTCGATGATAACAAACACAAAGAAAGGGGAAGACTGCGACGGACCAGCTCGGCCAGAGCACTGGGACCGACGGGACAGGGATCTCAGGATAGGTGGGCAAAGGAGTCGGCGAAGTGACAAACAGATACAGACTCAAAAGAGTTGCATCTGAGTGTGTCTTTATTGAGGAGAATTAACATTTTTATACAGTGTGTGATTGTGACATAGATTCTTTGTTTATTTAAGCACGTAATCAATTTTTTTAAAGGCAAAGCATTGATGAATTACATGAAAATTAATGACTATCCCACCAACTGTTTAAGCTAAGTGGTGCGAAACAAGTCTAGCATATTGTTTAATAGAATACGTCATCTATTCAACTTTTTTATGTTTAATAATTAACAAACCTAAAACAGGGCTGTACTTACATTGTACTCTTTTTAATTTTATTTTTATCCAACTAACTTCATCTTTATAAGCTCCTGTATAAGGAAATGGTTATTGGTTGGTTTAGGACATATGTTACTAACTTTATATTTTGTGTGAAAACACCATCTATTTCCTATAACGTAAGTTGGACTAAACTTAATCATAACTGTTGGGAGAATCTTTCTTTTTCTTTTATAATCAGAGGTCTCTTCTTTTTAGAACTCTCTAAACTACTAGGATAGCTCTTTCTAACTTAGTTTAAATTATTGATTTTGTCTATTGGACATATCTAGAAATTTTAAGTCTCTACATTTACTATGCGTGAGCTGCAAAACCGCTTGTGAAGTTGTAGGAGTTTCTGGAGGCAACGTCACATCAGATGATAGATTGATTGGGGGATTGCCCACATTTAATCTTTGGCCTTAGTCTTTATTACTTAGAGAAGCCATCTCTATTGGACTGGAAAAATACAACATGCTTTGTTCGCGGATCAATAGAAAAATAGCCAAAATGAGAATAAAGGCAACGAATGTACAGCCAAGAAGAATATAGTAAGAATAAAGGTAGAGGCTATAAAGGTGCAGCCAAGTGTTTGGGAAGCCTTGAACCAACACCCCCTTCCTGGGGGCATGCTTCCTTGAAGCTCTTTGTCCAACACAATCTCTCACGCAGACTCCGCAGAAGGTGGGGTGGCACCCACTGGTCACAGAAAGGTGTCCACTCAGCTGGAAATACCAGGAACCACTGGAAGTGCAGAAACTTAAGCATTTGACCTTGTTTCTCTGGCCAGAGACTATTCATTAAACTTGCAGTCCCTTATGCTGTTGCCAATGTCAAATCAGAAGCCATCTATCCACTACAGGCAGCTTTATGGAAGTGCTCCGCCCTCCTGCGCTGGCCTCTCTTCGCTGAACCCAGCTAAGGACTCCTTGCAGACACATCTTCATGGCTGCTTTGCCTGCTGTGATCTCTGCTCCTTTCCAAACGCTTGTTTCAGCAGCTTCCCCTCCATTGTGCCTCTGGGACTGGGTTCCCATGGTGGTTGGATACTGAGCTGCTTGTTAGAGGAGGAAACAAGAGTTGTTGTATACGATGGCAGGCCTGAACTGGCCTGGAGGCAGGACAGACGCTCTCCCAGGTGGGACTTGTCAGGGCACAGGGCAGGCATCCTGCCACTGGGCCCTGGGTCACTGTGGTGAGCAGCAGTCACACTGGAACTTCTCTTTCTCAGAGAACAACGGGTTATGTCTGACCAGATTGTCTTTTTTAGGGAATCCAGTTCTCCACCAACTCCTGGGGGATGTCTGGGGCTTGAGTCTATGCCAGACTCCACTCCTGTCCAGAACCTTTCATTCCAAAAGTTTCAACCAAGTGTATGTGGTGTGGCAGAAGACTTCTTGTTATATGATCAGAGGTATATAGGCATTGCACTTTTTGGTGAGCCTCATGTCGTCAATTAAGCAACCCAAAGGCCAGAAGTGGAGTTTTGGCTCAAATGGCAGACTTGCCAGTCTCTCTCTCTTTTTTTTTTTTTTTGGCGGGGGGTGGTGGTGGTGGTGGTGTCTGGTCGTGGGCCTGAACTCTGGGCCTGGGCGCTGTCCCTCATCTCTTCAGGTTAAGGCTAGCACTCTACCACTTGAGCCACAATGCCACTTCCGGCTTTTTTTCTGCTTATGTGGTGCTGAGGAATCGAATCCAGGGCCTCATGCACGCAAGGCAAGCGCTCTACCACTGAGCCACCTTCCCAGCCCCAGAGTGCCAGTCTTGAGCACAAGAGCCAAGGGACAGCACTCAGGCTCTGAGTTCAAGCCCCAGGACTGGGGCATGCACACACACACACACCCTGCACCCCTTGATCTTTGCTGCTGTTTCCTACCACACAGGCACAGGCAGGCATGGCAGCATGTGATCTACCTCCCCGCCTCCCCACCCCCCCACACTTTGCACTGCCACCGCAGCCGCCGCCGCCACCAACTATAGCAACAGACTTCCTAGGCTTCCCCTCCGCGCCCCCCCCCCCCCCGCCTCGGCCCCTAGTTTAGATCGCTGAACCAAAGTGTCCCCACTGCACGTTCGGCTCTGGCAAATATCAGATAGGATTACAGTGATGAGGAGAGAGAAGCGGCCGCCATGGATTGACTGTAGGGCCCAGAGGACAGAATGCCAGCCCAGGCCCATTCATAGATCAAGCCAGGGAAATGTTTTTTGTTTTTGTTTTTGATTTGCGGTCTCTCTCCACACCCCGTGTGTTTGTCTGGGTTTGCCATTCATGACCTGTGTGGGCAGGGATGATGGGGCGTGTGTGTGTGTGTGTGTGTGTGTGTGTGTGTGTGTGTGTGTGTGTGTGTGTGTGTGTGTGTGTGTGCGCGCGTGCGTGCGCGGGAGGGGGAGGTGTTCCTTCCTCACAAGACCTTCCTAAGTGTTGGTTCGGTCTGGAATCGATCTTGGGCCTGACGTTGTTTTTCCTTGTTTTGGGGTGCCACCTACTGGACACCGTGTGGAGTGACAGGGAGTGATTCGGGGCTGATGGCGGAAGTTGGCGACTCCCCCGAGAGTCCGCTCGCGAGAGTCTCGTGGACTCTCGCGAGAGTCGCGATGAGGTATCGCCGGCTCTCTTCTGCGGCTTTATGTACAACAAAACAAAATGAAACAACAGCAAACAAGGAACTTTTCTTGAAGGGAGGGCCGAGCGGAGGGGGAGGGGGGCCCGCAGGGGGTGTTTCTTTTCGTTATTTTCTGTCCCAGTTTATTTACGGTTGTAATTTATATACAGTAACACAAATGTCTTTACGTCAGTATTATGGAAAAGGGTCCCACGGCTGCAGTGGGTGAAAGATTGAGACTGGCTGTTGACAGGGCACGTCTGGATATTTCTATCGGTCCCATAGAGATAATCTGTTACATTTTAGGACATGGTAGATTATATCTGCTATTTCCCCAAATGGACTTTACAAAAGCCATCTGTGGCCCCAAAGATGTTTCTGGAGCTCTCATCATGTGTGACTAAATAGGCCTCAGTGAATTAAGCTGAGAAAGCTGCAAAACAAAGCAGATCACTTCAGTTATGGAATATTAAGAGAATAAAAGTAGCTTTATACCACTGGATCTTTAGTGAGAAGATAGAATAAAAAGAAGATAAAAATATTGGAGGATGCAATATAAGCCAATTGAAACGTATCTAACCGATGATCTGGCTTCGAAGCGGCTACTGAGTAGCGTGGTCCTAGACCATCGTGTCCAGGAGGATACACCCGTGTGTTTTGAAAGATCCTCAAGCCAATATACTTGTCATCGTGACCGAAAGCGTTAGGACAGGTGCGTTTCCGTCCTCCTAATTCCAGGTTTAATCCTCACACGTCCGGTTGTTATCATACGTTCACAGTCGTGCCACTTATGGATATGACGTCTTATGTCTTCTCGGCAATATCTTAAATGCTCAGAGAAGTGACACCTTCTGACGAGAGGAGAGTATGTGTGTCACACACACGGGGACGCACACACTCTGTTTGCCCGGAGTGCTGTGTAGGTTACCATGTCCAGTTATACTTTAGGTCTAGCATGCACATAGGAGAGAAAGCAGGTGCCGTTGGTGGGTCGGTCGGTCGGCCTGTCTGTCTGTCTTCGCCTGGCATCACCTGTTCTAGGTTCTTCTCCACCGCCGCCCCCCCCCCCCGCGCGCTCCTAGTCCATCAGATCTACTTCCCTGTAACTGACATAATCTTATTCCTATTCTTTGGGGAATGGGTGAATAAGCTTTTACCTTGTGGATACTGTACACACACCCCGTAACGCGCGCGCGTGCGTGCCTGCGTGCGTGCGTGCGTGTGTGTGTGTGTGTTTGCCATGCCTGACCCCCTGGCTCTGCCTCTCTACCTGCCTCTCTACCCGTCTGTGATGCGATGTGTGTGCTGGGGCACTTCTGCCTGCAAACTCCAAAGAGAAGTACGCCCGCCCGCCGGGCCCGTGGGTTCTAACCCCGTGGGTCCGGGAGATAGGATCGCCCCTCTGACGCCTCCACTCTGTTTGGGCCGGGGCCCCTCGTCTGTCTCTCCCTGTCTTTCCTCCTGGGGTTCCCTACCTGCCCTCCCCCCAGTCCCGCACGCGTGCGCGCGCGCGCGCGCGCGCGCGCACACACACACACACACACACACACACACACACACACACACACACACTGTGCACCGCCACGCCCAGGTCCAGGTCCTCCACCACAGGCGTGTGAGTGATGATGCCGCTACCCTCCAACACCTGTGTGTAGGGTTTAGATTCATCGCCTCGTGCCCCGAATCCTGTTCCAGAGAGAGTGGCGGAGCCTATTAGAAAAGGCTAGCTGTCTGGACAGGCTAGAGTACGAACCGGTGAGCAGGTCGTTCCGTCGGGTGCCCGGGGATAAGCGTCACACGGGTGCCACCTCCCCTTCCTTCCCCACCCAGCCAGCGGCTCTCGTTTGGCTTTCCTGTCATTTAGTGATGGGTGAGTGGACTCACGCTTCCCCACGGCGCTGTCACCTTGGTTTTCCAGACCTGTGTGCGTGACGTACCTACTCTCTCTGTGTTAGAAGAAACCTCTCTCGGGCCTTCCCCCTGCCCTTTCCCCTGCCTGTGAGGGGTGGCGGGTGGGTGCGAGGGGAGGGAGTGTGTTGTAGGGCGGGCGAGCAGTGGACTTTCACAAGTGAGCGGGGTGCCTCCCGAGGGCTCGTCTCTTGCTGGAGCCGACCCATCTTTGGGAGTTTTTTCTTTCTTTCTTTCTTTCTTTCTTTCTTTCTTTCTTTCTTTCTTTCTTTCTGGTTTCCATCTGGGGGAAAAAGACGGGCAGGCAGACGGTGGGACGAGCGCTCACTTGCCCTAGACGGGCAGCCAGACGGTGGGACGAGCGCTCACTTGCCCTTTTCTGGCCGTTGGGCGGGGGTGGGGGTCTTGCCACGGGCGGCGGAGGTCGTGCGGGTGGCCGGTTCGTTTTCTCTCGTGGTGCAGGCCTGCCGTCTTTGCCGCCCCTTCCTGCTTGGGACCGATCCCGGCTTCCCTTTTTCTCGGGTTCGGGCCGCTCCGTTCGGGCGAACCCCGTCCTGGTTCCTGGTTTCACTTTGGTCGCCGCCGGCGGCGGCGGCGGCGGCGGCGGCGGCGGCTCGGCTCGATCTCGGTCTAGGTCTCTGGTGGCTCTGGTGTCGCTCGTGAGGTCGCAGAGAGGACCCGGCTGCGGGTCCTGACCTAGGTTGTGCCTCTGGAGTGAGGCGATTTGTTTCCGTGTTCTGTGTCTCCGGAGCTCTGAGCCGGCCGGCGCGCGCCGATCCGGGGTACGGCGGCTCGGTGGAGTCGGTCGTTGGAAGGCGGTTGTCGTGCTCCCCCTGGCGTCCGCTTTGATATGACAGTCCCCTCGTTCTCAGCCGAGCGAGCGAGTGAAGGAGGAGGTCTGGCGGCAGCGAGCCGGGCGGAGGCCCGGCCTCTGCCGGGTGCCGGGCGCGACTGTCGCCGTGGTGTCGCTGTGGCGCCGGGGCGGCTGTTCTGTCGGACTTTGCGCCCGCAGGCGAGCGCGGGGTGGGGCCGTGCGTCGCCCGCTCTCTCTTCCGTGCCCGGTCTGTGCGGGGGTGGCAGCTTTGTCGGGTCGACCAGTAGTTCTGTCTGGGCCCGACGCCTTGTCCTCCTCCCCTCCCTGGACTCTGGTCTTCGAGGGCGAACGAAGGAGAGTACGAGGGACGTCTCGGGAGTCGGGGGAAAGGGTCCCCGGGTGAGCCGATAGGTGGCGGGGCCGGTCCCGGCCCGGACTCGGACCACCCGCCCCCCTCCCCGGAGTCACCTCCGAGTGAGCGCTTGGCGCGTGCCGGGCGCGAGGGCCTGGGTCGCCGGCCCCGTGTGGCCTCCCTCCACGGCCCCGGCGGCGGGAGGAGCCGTGGGCACGGCCAAGGCGAGCCTCGGGGCCGGGACCTACCTACCTACCTACCTACCTACTTACCTACCTACCTACCTACCAACCAACCATCTGCGGCGTGCGCGATGGCGGGGACTTGCCCGGTGGGCCCTGCGTAGGGGAAAGATCGAGGCGGAGGGAGCACCTCGGGAGTCGGGGACCCGAGCCCGGGAGTCCCGGGTGGGTGCGTGCTGGTGGCAGGGTGCTCACCACTGACCCCGCGCGGTGTGGGTGTGGTGGTTGGGTGCCTCTCGGAGTGGGTGCCTCGCGTCTGCCGGGGGAAGGCTCCCCGTACCGCCCGTGCCGTGAGCCCGTGCGCACCCGGGGTAGTGGGGCGGGCGCGTCCCCCCCCCCCGGCTCCCGCCCTCGCTCTTCGTCTTGTCTTCGCCTTGTGTGGTCGACCAGCTGTCCCTGAGAGTTCCGTGTCTGGCTCTGTTGGGGACGTGTTGGGGACAGGTGTCCCCGATGTGGTTTCCGAGGGGTCCCTGTCGCCAGCGAGTTGTCGCCCCTGCCTGACGACCTGGTTTTGGCGTGGTGACGTGAGGATTTTGTACCTGCAGGAGGGTGCTGGCATGCCGTGTCCCGGTGGCTGTCAGCGGGTCTTTTGGGGCTCTCTCGGATGCTGTGTGCCGGGCCTTTCCCGTCTCTTCCCGGTCCGGGTCCCCCTGTCCTTTCCACCCCGCACCCCGGGCTCCCGCTGCCCTGAGCAGGCCCTGTCCCTGTGGTGGCTCGTGGTTGTGGTGGCGGTTGGGTGGTGGCTGGCGGCTGAGTTGAGTCCCGTCGTCCTTGATCTCTCCCCCGCTCCCGGTGCTGGATTCTGGCCCATGCCTCGGCACGCCGAGGAGGAGAGTGGTTGGTTGCCTGGGGTGCATAGGTAGGCCCGCGCGGTGTGCTTCCCTCGCCGTGGCCAGCTTTGAGGAGGAGAAGGGGGGGGCGAGTCCTGCCTTCCGTGTGCGGCATCCCCGTTCTGCCGTCGGGCTCGTCCGACCTCCGTGGCTTTTTTTTTTTTTCCCCTATCACCCCTAGCTCCTCCAACTCAACTCCCCCGACCTGCCGCTTCCCGATGGCGGGCCTGGTCGGCCGCTGAGCTGCGCTACTCCCGAGCGCTGTCCGTGGCTCTTTTTCTTTTTTTTTTTTTTTCTTTTCTTTCCTTTCTAGCTTCTTCGGTCCTGTGCCCGGCGGAGGAGGTGTCCTGGTTATCCCGAGTGCCGGGGACGCTCCAGCCCGTGGTACTTTTTTCATTTTTTTTTCTTGATTTTTTTTCTTTTTCTTTTTACCTCGCTCGCGACTCACGAAAGGGTGTCTGTCCTGGGTACGCTTTTATTCCCAGGCTGTTGGCCCTCCCGGGAGCCGAGCTTCCTGGGCCACCGCCTCCCGAGTGCCGTGTGGCTGTCTTCTCCACCCCCTCGGTGTGATTGATGTGGTGACGTTGCGATCTCCTTCGGGCCCGGGCCTAAGCTGCGCCAGGCGAGGGACGGACATTCATGGCGAATGGGACCGCTCTTCTCGTTCTGCCCGTGGGCCCCTGCCCTCGCCGTCCCACCGTGCCGGCGCCGGTGGTGTGCGGGGAGGCAGGGGTGCGGCGACCGGGTCCGGCTGCGCTCTCCCTGCCCTCGCCGTGAGGTCGGGGACTTGTACACGCTGGAGGAGGGGGGTGCCCTGATCTTGCTCCTCTCTTCCCGTGACTCGTTATCGGTACGGGGGTCGGCTCTCTCCGCGGAGAGGGAGGGTCGGTGCTCCGTGCTTGCCCGTGCTGTGTGGTGTGCAAAGCCGCGCCTCGCGCTCTGCCCTCTCGCGGTGCTCCCGGAACGCTCCCGGTCGGTTCTCTCAGGTGCCTGAGGCTGAGTGGTGGTGTCGTTCCCGATCCTGGCGTTGTCCGCTGCCTGTGCCAGCCTGCCGCCCGCGGTGTGTCCCGGCCGTCCTTGGGTTCGTGGGGCTTTTGTGCGAGTGAGAGGTTATCGCTGAGATTGACATCTCTGCTGAGGGGGGGGTCGAGGCGGTTCCCCAGAGGAGCGCTCTTCCCTTGTCGCGCTGGGCGGTGGCTTCCCCGCATGAGCTTGCCGCCCTCCCTGGTCCTTGGCTTGTCTTCCCTGCCGTGTCACCTGGCTTTTATCGTACCGGGGGACCTGAGATGTTGCAGTGGGAGGCGAGCCGGGCCTGTGTGGGCTTCCCGCCCGTGTGCGCGACCTTGCTCTGGCCCCGCACGGCAAGGCCGACCGACCGGGGTTGGTGTTGCTGCTGCCGCAGACCCCCCCTGCCTGCCCCCCCCACCCCTACCTGCCCCCGTGGTGGGAAGGATGGACGCCTTTGAGGTGGTGTGCTGGTCCCGGCGGGGTTCCCGTCGGGGTTGGGTGCGGGCCACCCTCAGAGTGAGGAGAGGTTCTCTAGCGATCCTCGTTCGGGAAGCGGCGTGCGCTGCTGGGTTGGCGGGGGCCCGCCCCCGATGGGTTCCCGCGGCCCTGCCGCTCCCTGTCCCGCTTTTGAGCGTAAGTGGCTGCCCGCGTTGGTGACTGCGTGCCCGCGCCTCCCCCCTCCGAGCTGGGGGAGGGTCCCGCGGGGCCTCTCCCGGGCCGTCGTCTGGTGTGGTGAGTGGAGGACGTTCCCGATCCGTCCCCGCCCCTGCCTCGCGTGCGGTGTGTCGAGTGGCGGAGCCCTGGAGCCTGTGCTGGGTCGCGATGCGAGGGCGTGTGGTGTGTGGCTTCCCGGCCTCGTGCTTGGGGTGCCGTGGGGTTTTTGGGGGTCCCGTCCCCCTCCCCCTCCGGCCCCTGGCGACGCGGTTCCCGAGCGTCTGTGTGGGCCGCCGCCCGTTGGCGACGACGGCGCTGTGCGGGCGCTGGGCCCCGCGGTGTTCCGCGGCCGCCGTGCCCGTGGTGGTGTGCCGCTCGGGGGGGTTCTGGCCCTCCGGAGCCGAGGATCCCGGTGTGTGTGGGCCCTGCTCACACGGCCGA